GCGGGTGTTTGGGTCGGTCGTGGCTGTTCGAATTGAGTTGCCACAGATGTGGGCACTACGGTAGATTGGGTCGAAGGTTCGGTCTAGGCCTCGGGTTTGCGTGGGCTGTAGGAGCGGGTTGTAGACGCTGGTCACGGGTTATCCTGTTCGGTCTGGATCGGTTGTAGATTGGGTCACGCGTCGCAGGTGTTGTAGATGTGGGCCGCTGCAGGTGTAGGCCGAGTCGTCTAGGCTGGTTTCTAGGCCGAGAACAACAGTTGGTGAGCGGGTTATGAGTTGAGTCCAGCCTAGATCCGGATCCGTCATATACTTTTTCTTTACCCTACTCGCAGTGCGATTTTTTGACGACCTCTCTCTCTCCTCTGTTCGACGTTTTCGTCACCGTTTCTCGTCCTTTTTCTTCCTCTACTTCTCTATCCACCTCCCTTCTTCCTTTCCTAAAGTCTTGTAACTTAAAAAGGCCTACAATCATAGATTTAAAAGAGTTTAGGGAATCAGAAATCCCGACTCCGTTACTGGTCACGACACGCCTGGAAAGTGCATGAAACGTACCTTAGATTGATGTATGATCGTCAAGGATCCTTCTTGTGGCATGAGTTGAACGTTTTGACGTTGGGTTTGGTTGTTTCGGTTGTGTGTCTCATTCTCAGATCTCGCTGGAAAAGCTCGCTAACTTCTCTCTCTCTCGTTCTTTTCCTCGGTTTTTTTTCTCTTTTGCCGGTGTTCTGGGAGCATGCTAAGGTTGGGGATGGTGTGTGTAACGGATTGAAAAAAAAAAAAAACGAAGTCGTCGGCAGGTCCGAAAACTCCGGCGAACGCTAGAGTTTTCGTTCCCACACGACCCACAAAGGACGGCCGAAGTCTGGGTCGCCAATGAAACTCGATCCCGACCTTCAGCCACCCCAAGACACCTGCAAAGAAGATAAAAGATAAGGGAAAACGAGGAAGACAGTGAAAATCTGACGAAACTCCGGTGAGGCCAAACCCTACGAAATCGACGTCTAAACCTCCATTTTACGCAACAAAAGTAATCACAGAGCCTTTTGCACACATTAGGGATAGATTTAGATGAGTCCTACACGTTGTACACTGTCGGCAAGGGAGACAAAAAGTCAGATTTCTGAACCCTTCCAGATCCGAGAGTGTGAGGCCTTTACGAACCAAACCAATACCAAAAACGGAATTAGGGGGGAGAAAGAGAATCAGGAACGGAGGAAAAAAGGAGGAAAAAGGACATCGAAACGACGTTAACGAGGAGGGAGAGAGGTCGCTAGAAAGAACCACAGGCAACTGGGTGAAGGAGACGAAGTCCGACCCGAGGGCCGGATCCCGCGACTCGAACCAAGTCTATCCACCGTAAGTCAGCCCAACACCCGACGACTCCCGTGGCCCAGTCGCCTCAGCTCAAACCCGTAAGCCCAGTTACGGCCTAACCCACTAGCCACGACCCGAGAGCAAAAACCCAACCGACCCGAGACCTGCAAGCCCAGTCCAACGCGCGACACGCACAGCCCAGCCCAGCCCACCTACACGTCCTTCAGCCAGGCCGACCCATAACCCACGAGCGACCCGTCAACCTGCGCCTCAACCCGAGATCGCTTCACATGCGTCGCAACGTGGCACGTTTGCAGTGCGACACCCCTCGGCTCCGACGGCTTGATCGGCTCAGCGGCATATTTTAGGGAGTACTTCGACTAAGGCATACCAAGTAAGTGGCTCTCCTGTCGTAGGTTACGCGTTATTTGCTGTTTGTTGGCATGTGCCCATGGATTCACACGTGTCATTAAATCGTATGATAGGTTGTTGTGCTTAAGAACATAATCATATGAACGTGAATGTATGCTATGTATCTGTTTAGTCTGATGTGTTACGTAATGCATGTGACGTTATGTTGTTCTTGAATGATTATGGCATGATTGTATGGAATATTTGAATGTAAACAGCATGAATTGTATGACATGAACTACGGTAAATTGCCTGGAAACATAACCTCGATAGAAATATGTATGATGCGTAAATTGAAAATGAGAATGACATGTAAGCATGGAACGTGACAAGGAGGGGGGGTTGTGTTCATTAACGTTAAATGTAGAAGTAATGGGGACATCATGCATTATGTGTGTTCATGCATCTGGGGGAATACCCCTATCCCATCACGAGGGTACGGACGCGTACATCCAATGGCAGGACAACGACCATTATGCTTTGCATAGCGCTGCCGTGACGGTTACTAGTTCTAACGGGTTCCGGCATAAGGGGCTCCCAGAGTATGCCCACCGGATAAGGAAAGTGGTCCAGCGGTGTGCAAACTAGCTGGTGAGCCCATACTCGCACGTATGGGCTGTGTGTAGAGTATATGATACACGTCCAAAGTTTACTCGTTAGGACAGCATCTTAGGGAAAACGAAACGAAAAGATAGGTCCCATCATATCATTGCATGTGTTTGTTGCATAACCCCGATAGGGGACCACTTACTGAGTATTCTAGTAATACTCAAGCCTCGTGCTACTTTACTTTTTCAGATAAGGGCAAGGCACCCATGTGTCATCGACAACGACGTCGTACACCCCGGGACTGTGGCACATGCATAGGGTAGTTTTTCCATTTCGTAGTCTAGATTGAATTCGGTTTGCATCATTAGTATAGGTTAGCATAGATTGAATTGTATTTGTATAATAAACCTTAGGGTAGGATAAGACATTCATTTCAGTTTTGTTCTTTTTTTCTTTATTTCAATAATGTTCTTTTTCCTTTCTTTCCCTTGTAATCGTTTTCTATTTCATGAGGTAATAAAAGGCCAGTGTACGTCGCATTTATGATCAGGGCCCATTTAACGTAAATTCTGCATTTCAAGGTATAGTAATTACCTTAAATTAAATAGGTAAAATTTAGGGTCGTTACAGTGTGTGACTCTCCATGGAGGTCGCGGAGTCGTGTTTCAGCGTGGGTCACAAAAATTATGGTAGTTGCCAGAATTATTCACGTCTAGAGGCGACTGACACAATCTTTTTTTTATTAACTTAATTTTTAACGGTACGTTACACATTTATTATCTTTCATAAGGCATACTTGATGGTGACGAGGCATTCACTACAAGGCCATGGAATCATTCTATGTTGGAGTCCTATCGCCATGAGTACGAGGCCTTTTGCAGAACTTAAAAGCGAAGGCATGAGACATGATGTGGACAATATCATCCTATTTGTAGAAGTTTGTTGTTTCATAATTAAGTCTATGGTGTAGCACTCATACCAACTAGAACGGCCCTACTTTTTTTTCTTTACCTAGAAAATGATGAATGTAGAAGTGACCCCATGGCTGGGTCTAGAATTGCAATTAAATGATTTTTTTCAAATGTTCAATCATTTCTAAAAATTGAAAAACATAGATATATATGAAAATTAATTTTAATAATAAAATCATATAGAATCACTTTTTGACTTATTCTTAGTAGCAAAATCAAGTTGATAGCTACAGTTTTGAGATCAACCTTTTTAAAATCTAATGTTTCAAGTCAATTTTTCTATATCTTTCTTATGTTGTTTTGTGTTTAAATTGTAACTTAAAATTGATCCATCATATAAATATTTAGACAACAATCTTATTACAAAATTTAAATATAAAAATAATTCAAATGTCTAAATCACATCAATTTAATATTATTTTGGATTTAGGTGGGTTGTCCGAGTTATTTTTTTTAATTATTTAAAAAATTATACTTATCTACCATACTTGTTACACTAATAATTTAAGTCTCAATATAATAAATAAAGTTTAAATATGAAACAATTACAAGTCATAAAACATCGCTATCGTCCGTTACAAAACGTTAAATATTCTTAATATTTTTAAAAGTAAGGTAGGGTTGGAGTAGGTGGTAACTATTTTTAGGAACTCGACCAAATAAATGCCAACCTATAAATCGAACCAAATTTTCAGTTTTCTAAAAATTCTATTCCACTAAAAAAATCTCATTCCAACCCTATGAGATCTCACATCGATTGAAAAGAGGAACAAAACATTATTTATAAGGGTGTGGAAACATCTTCTTAACAGACGTGTTTTAAAATCGTGAGGGTAACGACAATACGTTGCGTCCAAGGGTGCAAACCGCCTGGGGATCCACGCTCACATGTGTGGGTCGTGTATAGGGAAGTACTACACATCCAATTTTGTCAGGACTGGAGGTCACCCATATGATGGTTTTAACGATAGGTTCATAGATCATGAGTTGCATGTGTTTGCATTCTCTGACTCCAAGTGGAGTCAATTATTTCTTAAAATACTCAAAGTCTTATTTTTATTTCAGGTAAAGACAAGACTCTCCTGTATGGCTGGCGACAACATCACAAGTAAAGACTATGACACAGACATAAAATAATGGTATTTTATTTCTTAGACTAAAAGGTTAGTATAGGGTATGTTTTAATATTTTATTATGTTATTTTAAAAACGTTTTCAAACATGTAAGTCCATGGAAATATTTTACGATGAAGTTTTAAATATTTATTTCTACATAAGAGAATATGTTTTCATGACGGTAACGACTCTAGAATTAGTACAAATGTAGGGTTATTACAAAAACATATTCTAAAAAATCATGAACCTGACAGTGATACATAACGAGTCAAAGAAGACTAATTGTTAGCGGTGAGCTTGAATTGTTACAAATCCAAAATTTTATTGTTTGGGTTGAATAGTTTAAATTAGTCAGATTATCGAATCATATGAACACCGATACGTAAGCGGTACCATAAAAATAATTTTAGTAACGGAGAAAGTGTTAATCCAAGTTGTGTAACATGTCAAACTAAAAATAAATGGGTGGAATTTGAAACAATAAAAATTTGAGTTGTGGATTTTATTTTATTTATATTTTATGTTAAAAAAGAATTTGAAATGAAGATTTTCATGACATGAGTATGCGTCATTGTTGAAAATAATAATAATAAAAAAAAGAATATAATCCCTTCTCTCTGCCTTTTGGCTTTTCACTCTTTGAAATCGCGGTGTTAGATAGCGACTTTCCCTTTCTTTTTTATTTTTTATTTTTTATAAACCTTTTTCTCTCTTCATTCTCTTTCACATTTCATTTTTTGCTCATCACCCAAATGGCTCAGGTTTCTCCTCTTCCTTTTTCTCTCTGATTCCTCTTTCTTTCTTCTTATTACATTTCTGTTTTCTCTTCGATCTCTTGCAGAAAGTTGTGCTGAAGGTGATGACCATGACTGACGACAAGACGAAGCAGAAGGCAATCGAAGCTGCTGCCGACATCTACGGTTCGTCTCCGATTCTCTGTTTTTTTTTTTTTTTTTTTTCCAAATCTTTCTTCCGAGTTTCTGATCTCTAAGTGTGGAAAATCGATCGACTCTGTTTGTTTGCTTGTTCTGTTGTCTGAAAAGAATCGGAAACTGAAAAACTACATGAAATTATTTGGAATCGGAAATTGAAAAACGATATGAAATCATTCGGAATCGTAAACTGAAAAACGATATGGAATCATTTGGAATCGGAAATTGAAAAACGATGTGAAATCATTTGGAATCATAAACTGAAAAACGATATGGAATCATTTGGAATCGGAAATTGAAGAACGATATGAAATCATTCGGAATCGGAAATTGAAAAACGATATGAAATCATTTGGAATCGTAAACTGAAAAACGATATGAAATCATTTGAATGATTAGGTGTCGATTCGATCGCGGCGGATCTGAAGGATCAGAAACTGACGGTGATAGGATCGATGGATGCGGTGGCGATTGTGAAGAAATTGAAGAAAGTAGGTAAAGTGGACTTGATATCAGTCGGACCTGCAAAGGAAGAGAAGAAAGAGGAGAAGAAAGAGGAGAAGAAGGAAGAGAAAAAAGAGGAGAAAAAAGAGGAGAAAAAGGAAGAGAAAAAGGAAGAAAAAAAGTGAAAAAGTACAATTCCTTTCCCCCTTCTTTCAATTTTGATTTTCCATACATTTAACGAATTTTAATTCAAATAAGTTCTTCTCAATTCATATCAAAATTACATGAAGAACAAACCTCTGTACCTACTTAATTTTTGTTTTCATAATCCCTTTCAAATTCATGCGCTGATTCACTCATAATGCAGCCATTTGTATTTCCAACTTACGAACACAACAGACAATTTTCCCTAATTGGTATCTAAAATTTATGTAACAGATCGACATATTTTGTTTTTTCATGTTTAGTGGGACCTACAAAGTTTGTTCCGTGGTTCCGTGGTTCCGTGGTTTCTTGATTTTCGCAATTTAAGCATAATTTAATGACTAGATAAGAATTTGAAATGGGATATGATTTTGGTGGTGGTGGTTGAGCGGGGCATGGGAAAATGTTTAGAGCTATATGGCCAACAATGGTGGCGTACATAATTTTTCATAGTTCTTATTTTGAAGTTTTTGGCTCTTCATTTGTACTCATTCATTCCGGTGTGTTTCACTTTATTTCTCTCTTAAAGTCTTATTTTACGGCGAGGAATGAAGTTGTTGAAGTTGGAATTGATATCCTCAACTATCATAATAAATTCATAAACTTTATTTCGTTAATATGAGATTAATAGCATATGGATTATTGTCCTAAAACTATCATGATGATTTGATCTAAATTATTCATGTGTAAACATATGAGTGTGGTATCATATACAATAGGTTTGCATAATAGGTTAAGTGAAATATTTCTTTTTTTTTTGTTTGTAAATTTGTTGATTTAGAAGATTAATAAGATATTTAGTAATAAATTATAATTTTCCACATATATTATATTTGATATTTTATTATAAGACAAATATCTAGATATTTGCCTTCTTGTTATAGTTATCTTTTCATTTATTGTTATTTCGGTTTATTATTCTTTTCATATTCTTATAATTTATTTGATTATAAAGAGAGAACTTTCACACACCATTTGTAGTGGATTAAGCAAACATTCTCATGATATTAGAGTTCTTTTCGGTTTAACAACCCCGATCTTTTCTTTTTAATGGCTTTTGAATCCTCTACTATTTTTCTCCACCACCATTGCTCGCTTTAATATCGCAGGGGCAGTCGTCATGGCTGCCGCAAGTGGAGCTGATTGATTACTCTTCGGCTCCACTCTATTGACCTCCAAATCACATTTCGCCATACTCTGTACATACAACTTCACATTTTCCAACCCAATCGGTTTTCCCTTGGCCAACATAGTCTCTCTCTCATTTTCTTCCCAATCAATCCTTCATCCTTCACAAAAAACCCTAATCTCATGATCCTCATCAGTGTTCTCTTCGAAAATATACAGAATCTCAATAAACCCATCGACCTTCTGCAGAGATTTACCTTTGGAATCTGGGTACCGCGCTGGCCTCTTTGCCAACCAAGTCGCCGACGCCCTTCTAGCCAAAATTGGCTCCTTCACCCACTATGGTGACTCTTTCAGCTTCAACATTGTCTTTGTCCCTTGCTCTAGGTTTCCCCTTCTACTTCTTGGGTTGACATATTCTCACCAGAGCCAAGACAGCATCGTCGGTAAGTGACGATCCCTCTTCATGGGTTAGACATATTATCGTCGAAGCCAAGACAGCATCGCTGCTGAGCGATGATCCCTCTACAGTTTTGATGGCCAAGAAAGTGTATCTCTACGCCTCCTCTGAACCAGGTTGTTGACATCTTCATGAAAAGTATTTCTCAACCTCTCTTTAAATTTTTCAGATCCAAGCTTCACATTCATTCAAATCTGACGCTCAGCTTGTCGTGGGGTGTTAAGGATATTTAGTAATAAATTATAATTTACCATATATATCATATTTGATATTTTATTAGATATTTGTCTTCTTACCATAGTTATCTTTCCATTTATTGTTATTTCCGTTTATTACTCTTTCCATATACTTATAATTTATTTAATTATAAATAGAGAACTTTCACACACCATTTGTGGTGGATTAAGCAAACATTATCATTCACAAATAATCATATTTGACTTTATCTTTACTTTTTAGTTATAAAGTCCTCCATGTGAAGGATTGTTCTTTGATTTGCAGGTGGAAGTGACTGTTGAAGTCAATTCAATAAATCTATTATTTTGGAACCTTTACTAAGGATTTGAAAATATAATCTCAAAATATAGAATTCACTTCTTCTTCTAATATAGAGTAAATAGATTAGTTACTTTTTCTAACTACAAATTTCGGGACTTGAATAATGAGACCTCATTTTTTCACTGGCTTGAGAATGATTTAGTTGATCGTAAACATCTTATGCATTAAAGGATCAATTACTTGAGGTATCAAATGTACTTACGAGGTTAAACGAATTTTTGACCCAAGTGTATTCATGAACAACTCGTGAATGGTCAACCTATATGTAATGGTTATGTCTCTAGACACAACTTGTCTTACAATACACAAGATTGCAACTCTAGGTCTCTATTAAACAGAACTAGAGTTAATGAATTAAAATGGATTTATTAAAAAAATTTAGTTGATAAATTTTTTTATCCCATGGAAGTAAAGATGTAGAAGGAAGTTTGGTAAATTTCTGTAGAAGGAAGTTTGGTGAATTCCATTAATATTGGCGTGTTATTGAAAAACTGAGACACTTGACTCATACTCATTTAGATCTTTCATATATTGTTAGAATGGTGAGGAGGAACATGAAGAAGTCTACTATGATGCATTATCAAGTGGTCAAACACATTCTCAATTATGTGAAAGAAACCACAAACTATGAGTTGAAGAATCAAAGAGGGCGAGAGACGGAAGAACAAGTCAGTTTTATCGATAGTGATTTAGCTAGAGAAATTGACGATAGAAAAGTACTGCATGAATGATATTTTATATCAATGAAAACTTTAGCACTTAGCAATCTCAGAAGCAGCGAACCGTGACACTATCTTCTTGTGAGTCCGAGTTTATGTCAGCAACTGTAACATCTTTGTGTGAAATAACCAAAAGTAAGCTAAAGGCAGTAACTCAATATATTAACAAAAATTTTGTGATTGCATTCATGGAGAACCTGGTATTTTGACGCATAAAAAAATATATCAAAACTCTCTTCCAATTCCCCTGTTGGTGTGTCGAGAAGTAATAGATCGTTATGGAGTTTATGCTCTAGAGAGAAATGTGCAAATCACCCCGGCCTTAGCAAGAGTTAAATTTGCAAAGATGCGAGTAAAGAATTTTTAGCAAGGAAGATTGTGAGTCAATAAGCTTGATCTCATACTTGATTTTGTTGTTTTTTTTTTTTTGTTTGATTTTTTAACTTGCGGATGTATGCTTTATTCTCAACAAAAGAAATTAAGAAGCATAGTGCTTAAAGTTTTTTTCTAGTACAAAGAAAGTTTCTTTGTGTTTCAGTTATTTACTTCGGTGTGATTCAATCGAGGGTCAAAACCAATATTTGATGGTGTCGCACATTGGAAAATTATCTTAAAATTGCTCTAAGTTAATAATTTTATTCGCTAAGTCAAGCTTATTAACTCACATTCTTCTCCATAATCTTGACTTTGCTCGAGATTCTTCACTTCAAGCAACTCACGTATGTCTGCAAATTTAACCCTTGCTAGGGTCTTGGTGAGGATGTCCGCACATTGCTCTCTAGTTTGAATGTTGCTTGGTTCTTGATCTATATTTGTCTTCTTTAGAAGAAATACTAATTTTAAACATGCAATTTTTTCCACTTAGAAGAAATACTAATTTTAAACATGCAATTTTTTCCACTCCTCTCTTTTGTGCAAAACATTTGTCATCATGCTTACATGGAAACTTCTTTTAACTTACTATTCCATTTTTCACCTTCTTTTTAGGCCTATCTCTAGGTTTCATTGGTTGAGACAAGATTGAAGTCTCATTTCTCCAGTGGTCTTTCTCTACTAAGTGGTTGAGATAATAAGTCATAAAACAAATAGACTTGTAGGTTGTAGTTTGCAGATTGAAGCTATGGGATCCTACAACGGTTGGGGAGAAGAATAAAAAATTCTTTATAAAAGTGTGGAAACGAGTAAATGTTTTTTTTCTTCCATATTTTAAGCTTAAGACAATCTTTAGTTGATATAGCATGATACTAAAATGAGAAAAACAACTTTTCAGATCGAGTTAACGAACTTTAAACAGATAATAAATCATATTCTATATATTTTATAGGCGGAATTTTAAACAGATAATTAACCCCTACAAAAAATCAAACCATATAATCTCTCAATTAAAGTTGTAAAATCGAATAAAAAAACGAATTAATCCCTAAAATGAGGGTATTAAAAAATTCGAAAATCTCTTCCTCTCTGACTTATTTTAAAAACTTTGAGGGAAAGCCCGAAAGGGAAAGCTTAAAGAGGACAATATCTGCTATGCTAACGATAGGCTTGGACCATTACAAATGGTATCAGAGCTAGACACACTCACAATGCTTTTAGCTCATAAGGGGGCTGGAAAATGGGGGGCGTGGGTCTTTCTCTACTGCTGTTGGTATCGGCTTCTGAACCATTTCATTTCCTTCACCTCCTCCGTCGGTTTCATGTCTTCGTCAAATCTAACTCCTATAAAAAGACCATTTCTAATGGTCATATGTATGAGGTGATGTGCCAGCGAGGAGGTTGAGCCCCAGGGTGGACATGAGGTGATGTGCTAGTAAGGGTGCTGGGTCCTGAAGGGGGGTGGATTGAGGGGTTCCACATCGATTGGAGAAGGGAACAAAAGCCAATGAGGACGTTACTCCGAAGATGGGTGGATTGTGAGATCTCACATGGGTTGATGAGGAAAATGAAACATTCTTTATAAGAGTGTGTAAACCTCTCCCTAGCATACGCGTTTCAAAAACATTGAGGAGAAGTCCGAAAGGGAAATTCTAAAGAAGACAATATCTACTAGCGGTGGGCTTGAGTTGTTACATTCTAACTATAAGCTCAATAAGGAGATAACATCCATCAATCATGGAGCAAAAATTACAATATCTCATTCTCCTTTCTAGCGTAGTGAAAAGTAATAAAAACAACATATATCTCAAAATATCATTATATAGCATCTAGCTTGTCTTAACCATCATCTGTGGCAAGCAAGTTAACTTGCAGACCCTTCCAATGAGTCCTAGAATCACTCTGAGTATGGGATGTGATCTCATGTGCTTGCTAGCTGCTAGGTTATATGCATGATTCCACGCTCCCTTTTAGAACGGGTTTACATCGCAAAGGTCCTATTCAAAAGACTC